GGGGGGGGGGCGGGGGGGGGGGGGGGGGGGGGGGAGGCGGTCTCCGGACGGCGCCATCCCGTCACAGTATTCACTCTTCGATATATTTCACCTGTACGAGGGAAGAAGGAGCAGCTGGCGTGACGCCCGCGCCGTTCTCAGGACCGCTCTCCTCCGGCGATTTCTTGGACGACTTGATCATGCCGATCATCTGCAATCGGGCGGAACGAAACAGCGCCAGGAGCAGAGAGAAGGGACACAAAACCAAAACAGACGCGTTCAGCGGCAGCGGCTGAATCGGTTTCAACGGACTCGTTGTGTCGTCGGGAACCAGCAGCAGCCTTCGTAGTTGTATTCAGCAAATATGTTGGATAAAGCATACAAGCGGGGGAACTTGGGTTAGGGTTCGGGATAGGGTTTAGGGTTAGGGTTAGGGGTTAGACAACAGGGTCTGCGTATCCCATCCCTGTTCTATTTCCTCGAAGGCGGTCCCCCGAACCAGTCTCTTGAAGCCGACAACGCTCTTTCGTATCGTCAGCAACATAGGTCGTCGTTTGCCGACGGGATACTTCGTTTGAACAACGGTCAGCGACATGGGTCGTCGTTTCCGACGGAAATACTTCGTTTGAACAGCAGTCAGCAACATTGGTCGTCGTTTCCGACGGAATACTTCATTTCACTAACAATCAGCGCTTGGTTGTCCGACAACGGGACGGTCGTCATCAAGCACACAAGCGTTTCGTTCTCGGCCTAAGGTTGTCGTCCGAAAGACCAACTCGCATGCTTGCCTAGTGGCAAGACGGTCCAAACCAAACGACAATCGTTCTCTTTCCCGCGAAACTGGGAGAAAGCGTTGGCCATGAAGAAGACATCCAACTGTTGAATCTCTCTGAGATGCTTCTGCTTGTAGGAGCACGCGTACATACACGCCTTTTGAATCTAAAGAAGACAGGAAACTGACTCATCTCTCGTGCTTCGAGATGTGCCTAATAGGCGTATGCACGCACACACACACAAACACAGTTGACGCCCCCTCACGCGGTCCCAGATCATGGCATGTACAAATATGTTCTGTATTTAACCGCACTGATATTGGCGTCATTCCATTGGTCAGCGCGGTCGATGCAAACGATAACAACACGCTCGGTCGAGTTTGCTTTTCACCTGTGCGGTGTCTTCTTCCCTCTCCGCCATCTTGTAGTCTGCGAGTAGGTTCAGGCGGTCCAGAATGCCGACGGTAACCTGTGCGTAGGCGGAGACAAGGAAACGACGTCACAGCAGTCGGGTCGCGGTAGCAACGGCAAGGTCAGGACTTCACACGTCGCCAACGGGATCCACATTCCACAACCGCACAAGTACACAGCCGTTTTGAGATAACAACCACAAGGGTCGCACGCCGAAACGAAGAATAGTTACCGTGGCGGCTACCGCGCACGAGCATGAACATAAGAGTTACGGACATGATAAGAGAGTCAAAATCGCATTGTCACTGCCACCGTCATAAGCAGGTGCTGGGATAGCGTACAAAGTACGCGTTGTCGGGCTGGACACGTCGTTCGTACATGGCATATGCCGTGTGCTAAATAGAATAGTGCAACACTGGCCGACAACAGGGTATTCTGCGGCAGCCGCTTGTCGGGTTGCACACCTCCTTTGTATAAAAAAACATGCATTCAAGTCTGCAAAATTGGCACTCCCACGTCCCGTGTATAACAGCAACCGTTTACAGTAGTCTGCTAAATTAGCACTCCTGCAAAACAAAACAAATAGAACTTCCATCACCTTCTCCAGGTTGAGCGTGTAGAAGTGCAGGCCGGGAGCCCCCGCGGCCAACAACGCGTTGCACATCTTCTCGCCGTAGTCTACCCCGAAAGCCTTCACGGCTTTCTCGTCCTCCTGTAGGCCGGGATGGGGGGGGGGGGGGGGGGGGGCCCCCCAACTCCGTTTGGGGGGGGGGGGGGGGGGGGGGGCCCCAGGGGGAAAAAAGGGGGATTGGAATGGTATTTTATCCGGGAAGAAATTTCTCCCCCTTTTGGGGCCCCCGACAGGGGGGGGGTAATCTTTTTACCGGGGGTGGCGGAAGGGTTTGGGCCTTTAACCAACCGGGGGGGGGGGGGTTCTGGGTTCCCG